ATGATATTTAAATCATTCTTTTGTTAAAAATGACGGATTTCCGGCGACACAGTCAGAGAAAAGGGAATTTTCTAGGAAATCTGCATTCTGCATCATTAAGCGGATCGCATTCGGGACGAAATTCTGTCTTACCGTTCGTCGTAAATATTGATGGTAAGCGCTTATTATTTTTTGGCAATTTACTATCACTGCAGTGCGTCTGAGCCATAATAATCTCAGCAGGCTACGCTAGGGCAAAAGTGTGCACTGAAGGTGTCAATTGCACTGAAATAAATAGCGACTGCCCCGACGATTGGCTGCACGCACTGTAATAACCAGAGTTTCATTTTCTGCCACAGCCTCATTCGTATTCCGAAGCCGTTCTTTCAACTGGGCCAGGTTTTACGGTTGTTGCCATCCCAAAGTCGTATTTTCCGGGAAACGGATAAAACAAAGATAACCTCTTCCGGCCTACTGCAACAAGTAAAATGATCATGTAGACAGCAGGAATGTGCTTTTCTAAACGGTGAAGGCAGTCTGAATTCTGGACGGTTGGACAGCGACATTTTTTTCGACATTTTGGAAACAGTCTCGGTATATTTTTCTCATTTTAAGGCAGCGTTGACTTGAAAAACGACGCCATAATTGTAACTCTGAACGTAAGGATTTTGACCGCTGCAGCTGGAGATAATCCCGTGGGAAAATGAGGATAAATCTGTTGATCATGTTTTCTCTTTTGAGAATTCGATTCCTGGACAAGGACCACTTCAGCCTGAGTCAATTCTTGATGGATAATGTCGTCGGTCGTGAAATGGAAAGAATCGAATGTTCATGGTCGACGGTAAATACCTGAAAAATCTGACGTAATAGCATTGCCAAAAAACATCTTTCTGAAAGACAAATAAAAGTTCGATGTCAATCTTGAAAAGCCTGTGCTCTCATTTGACTGTTTCTGGAAGAGAATTTTATCGGTTCATCATCGAGTCAAAAAATGCGGTCAGACGAAGGCTGTAGAATTTCAGAACGATTTTACTATAAGACCAGGTATGTAACTCTGTTCACATACGTCAGCATCAGCTGGTTTGCCTCCCCATAAACAGCTGCCTCTTCGTTTGTCCAACTACTGCGAGTCGATATAGGCGCTGCTGAAATCGCCATCCACCTTCACTTGATCGATCTGATCCAAGTTGATCTTCGTGTAGTTTACTGCATGGCCCAGTTCACCAATGAAATTCACCTAAATAACTCTCTCTTGTAGATCTGTCTCAGTTGGAGAAAGCAGAAATCAGGAAAGTCATTCAAGTGAGAGAAACAAGTACGGTTATGAGTCTGCAGGTTGTTTAAAGAGTATGAATTAGTGATTAAATGACTGAATGCGTTTTTTTGCCACGAGCCTATGTTGGGGTCTATATTGTACAAAACTTTTTTACACATTCTTTTCATGCCAATTGATAACGTTGTTTATTCCGTTATGGGTAATGAGTGCGGGCTTGTTTATATTACGTAGACCTTCATTTTCTTATGCTGCGAACTCAGCATGATAAGAAAGCCATTTTAAATTACCAACACGCGAAAGATAGTGGTGAACCAATTAATTTCGAAAATGGGCAGAACAGCTTGATTATTCCCGTTTTGAACAACTTCAGAAGTTGGAAGTTCTTTAAATCGTCTACATGGCCATATACGTTTCAAACAGTAACTGACGCTGTATGTTCGAAATCAGCGGGGTGCTTATGTTTCTACCACTGATGCTAATTTTTGGAAAAGAAACAAGTTGTTTCTCACCTCGAATATTTCCATCCCTGGGTACAGCAGTAACACAGCTCTACCGAACTTTGCATATTTGTCAGTGTCATCATTGAACCTTTTCTTGGCCTTCCGTGCGGACGCAGAGGAACCGGCCCAAGTGATGAGCATCTTAAACGTCATACATATCGTTTAGTTATAAAACCATATCGGTATCTTTGGCTAAATAGTACCTTTTCATCATAATCGACTTTCGTAGCCAGAACAACTTCGTCGTGCCGAAGAAAGCTGACGGAAACCTCCTTCGGCGACTCTCGCAAATCTCCAAATACCAGAAAGACTTCGTTGGCCTTTATGCCATTTACATTCCGTGTACACGGAATGTTCTTGCACTGAAATTAACCAATATGCAAATATAAACTTAGTGAATCGTAATGATAAGTTATCTAAACTAGCAGAAACGTCGAGACGTTGTACTCTTTGGAGTAACTGTTCAGGCGCTCATTACCTCAGGGTTTAAATCCGGTTACAGTGCAGGATTGACAAAGATAGGCATA